GTTCTGATCCGATCTCAATGTTGTCTAATAAATGTATGTCCTGATCCGATCTCGTTTGTAATTTCCCTAGCTTACTGAGTGCTAAAAATGCCTTAGTAAAGGGTAATGTAACTTCTCTAAGTAAAGATACTTCAGTTCTTTGTCACATCGATTAGTAAATTGTTACCTCAGTCACTCAATATGTTTACTTAAGTGATCCGATCTTCTATCATTAACTGGTTATTGTTAAGAGGCGCTTGATGTTTACTTAAGTGATCCGATCTTCTGATTATTGTTAAGAGGCGCTTAGTCCTAAGTGCTTGTCATTCATATATGTGTAAACAGATCAACACGATAAGAAAACAGAAGTAATAATACTTGGCAAAAATTTCATTTCATTCACTTGAAATTGAGTTACAAAAGAGGCCGAAGCCATTACAAGATTAGCCCTATTCTACAAGAGGGCCTTCCTCGCCAGCCTCTGCCCCGCCCGCCTCGGGGGCCTCTAGAGCGTCCTCGGCAAGCCTATCAGGCCGACCTCCAGTAGGTCCCTCGAACTCTGCCTCTAAAGAGGAGATGTCCAGAGTGGGGTGGACCTCTTTCAGCCGACCCAATAAGCCTTGGGCACTCCAGGAGGCCCAAAAATTTGCAAATTCATCGTACAGAGGATGCTCCTCGAAGTGGTCGACGAAATTTTGAACAACCACTTTCCCTGCCGACTTCAGTTCCTCCTTCAAGGAGGCTATTTCCTCAGATTGGGCTTCCACCCTCTGCTTCAGCTCCGCTTTTTCTTTATTGGAGGCCTCCAGAGCCTCCGTGGCGAGCTGGTGGTGCTCATTGGCGTGATCCACTCTTCCGGTCATAGCAGCCACCTGGCACTATACTTCATAGAACTCCTTCTTCAGCCGCTCTATATCTTCTTTGGCAGCCGCCAGCTGGGCCTCAACCTCCCTTCTTCCTTTCTCTTCCTCCGCGGTCTTGGTCCGGGCCTCCCTCACCACATCCCCATATTGCATCGCCTCTTCGAGGTGCTTAGCGAGGTCCTTCCTCTTGGCGTTGAGGTCTTTCACCAAGCTGGATGCTGGTACTCAGAGCCTGGGCCACACAGGCACTGTTGGCCGCCACTAAGTCCTCGGCAGTGCAGGAGGCGGTGTGGTGCCTCCATTCTTCAATCCAGTACTTATTGTAAACCACCGTCACTGCAGCCGTTTTTGGGAGGAGAGCCTCCAGTACTTCTTTTACTGGCCCCTTGGAGTTCGTGCCTAATAAGTCCACCTCCTTTAAGGGACGAACTCTTTTCCTCTTGGGCTTCCCCGGCACCGGGGCGAGAGGCACAGCAGCAACTGGTAGTGTGGCCGGGGCAGGAGAAGCCTCTGATGGCGCAGGCGTTTTCTTCGAAATGGCCACCCTGGTAGGAATTGTAGTTTGCCTCAGAACGGGGGGTGGCCTCGCCACTGTTGGTCGCTTCGAAGGGGCAGCAGACTTTTTGCCTTTTCGAAGCAAATTGGCCTCAGGATCCTCAGGCACCTCCTCCTCCTCCATCGGAGGCTAGAGCTTCTTGCTGGCGTCCACCAAGTCCTCCATCTGCTTCTTATAGGCGGAGGAGGAGGTCTTCAAGGCTCTCGCTTCGGCCATCATCTTTTGTATGGTCTTGAAGTCAGGCTAGAGAGGCATCTTCTTATTAAAGTTATTTGCAAGAAACAAGTAAATTAGTCTAAGTGTAAACGATTCGGAAGTACTGAAAGGTATTCGCTTCGAAATATTACCTTACGAGGCCATCAAGTCGTGCGTCACAAAATGAATGTTTTTTCTTATCAGTCAGTGGTACGACCTCTTCTTCAAAGGCAGCTGATATATGACGCAGATGATGTCGAAGTCGTCAGAGGACCGCTCGCACCGAGGAAGAGTGCCTTTAAAAAATGAACACAAATGTTAGTTATGATCCGAACCGAAGAGAAATAAACAAGAAACACGGCTACAATACTCACTAAGTGACAAGTACGTTGTGGGGACCGTAAAAGGTGCTAGGGGGTCCCCCTCCATCATGTCCCATCTCCCGACAGCCTAGCGCCACGAGCTCTTCCACTCCTTGATGGAGCTCGGCAGATCGAACACGAAAGGAGTGTGGGAACCCCAAGAGTTCAGGTAATACCAGCCCCTAGTCTTATCCCCCTGGCTGTTACTTTGGGAATGTAGAGGGTCTGAAAAACAGGAAAGGGCATCTCCACCCCAAGTGACGCCTCTTTCCATAACATTCAGGAACCCACCATTTGGCTCCAGGAGTTCGGGTTCAGTTGGGTCGGAACTAAGCCATAAGACCTAAGCACCATCCGGAAAAAAGGGTGAATTGGAAGCCTAAGACCGGCCCTAAGGATCGCCTCGCTTATCGCCACACACCCTGGCCTAGGGTAGCAGGCCCTCTCGTCAGGTTCGGATAAGATCAGGTCTATACTATCTGGGATCCTATATTCAGTCCTAAATCTTTCTAGGTCGGCCCCCTTTAGCTTGGAGGGATAATCTGACGCCCCCCAATGCACAGAGGTATCTACTGGGCTATCCGACCTCTTCCAAATGTTCTTCCGCCCCCCAAGTATCGCTTCGGCTACTTCGGAGAAGTTCGCCACAATAGGGTCATCCATTAGCACTAACTCTAGCCCCCTCCCCGAATTAGCACGATCCTCGAAAGCCAGTTTCAGAAAGGAAATGTCTCAAATATTTACTGAAACTTACGAGTTTGAGTGTTCCCCAGCAAAAAATGGTCAAAAAGTGGTATGTGGTCGCCAAAAATTCGAATTTCTCGCCGAAAATGCTTGAAGAACGCCGAAAATTGTAAAGAGTTTGAGAGCAAATCGGATTTTCTGTTTCCGCAAGAGTGAAAAGCTCCAAAAATGCTCAAGTCCGCCTTTTATAGAGCGCTCCAACTAATGTCCACCGTTGAATTCAAATGCAATCAATCTAGGCCGTCCGTCACATCATCAATCTAGGCCATTGAAATGAAACGCCAGATTTGATCTACGCCTAAAATTTTGCTGTGACCCTCACGCTCGCATAAAATGCGTCGCCTCGGTCACCACCAGCCATCAACAATAAGTAGCCGCAGCAGCCTTTTTGGGGAATGAGCGCTGCACCCAACTGTCACCTTGAAAATACGCAACAGTTGTCAAATCATTTAACGTCAGATACGCTCGTCTCGGATCGAGCTCCTCTCTCAACTTTACAAAGCTTAGATGCACCTGACGCGGAGTCCCCCTGTGGGTCATCGCCTCGATCGCTGCGTTTCTTCCTAAGCTTTACAAAGTTTTAGTCATCTCCCAACGCGTCGTCCCCTGTAGGTCAATGCACCGGTGGCAGATGAGCTCCTCACTCAACTTTACAAAGCTTAGACGCACCTGAAGCGGAGTCCCATGTGGGTCATCGCCTCGATCGCTGTGTTCCCTCCTAAGCTTTACAAAGTTTTAGCCATCTCCCAACGCGTCGTCCCCTGTGGGTCAGCGCACCGGTGGCAGATGAGATCCTCACTCAACTTTATAAAGCTTAGACGCACTTGGCGCGGAGTCCCCTGTGGGTCATCACCTCGGTCACTGCGTTTCCTCCTAAGCTTTACAAAGTTTTAGCCATCTCCCAACGCGTCGTCCGCTGTGGGTCAACGCACCGGTGCAGATGAGCTTCTCACTCAGCTTTATAAAGTTAGACGCACCTGACGCAGAGTCCCATATGGGTCATTGCCTCGGTCACTGCGTTGACCGTCTCTCTACGCATTGTCCAGTTGGGCAGCACTTCGATCTCACATAAATTTTCCCTCATGCAGTAGTGAAACTTTAACGCAGCTGCCTAAGATAACGTTTCGACGAATACAGAAGATCGACCCTCAAGTTCTCATAAATCACGATCCCCATCCCGAGGCATACACACCCGATCAAGAAAACAAGTCCACCCATGATATAAATATTCAGACCTGGACTTGGGGGACCACTGCTACACCCCTATCTGAACCACTTCGAAAAGTCCACCACTCCATCATGCGAAAGTGTGGAACACTCATCCGAAGTGGTTCCGAAGTGACTTCACCAATGGTGACGATCTGCTATCACACTACGAGGCATAGGCAACTCTGCGGGACTGATCGAAGTACCCTCGCCTCCGAATCCGAGGCGAAATGCAATCCAGGGACCTCTGTCAGAGGATCCACCGTCAATTTCAGAATGAGATCTTTGTCAAGATCTTTTGTGCCCCTAAGGTTTAAAGTGATTTGACGTCTCCATGGGGCTAGTTGATGTGACGTATCAACTTTATGTCGACTCAACTCAGGAGAAGTAATTATCCGCTCACTTTATAAACGCGGCTGATTGACGCCTATGAGCAGACGTCTCATACCGTTAGATGTACACACGTGTCCCACATCCAATGGTTCTCCTCACCTATAAATACCCAAAACTTGGCAAGAGGCAAAGGTAATGAAACTCTTACTACTTAGCACTTCATAGCAAGCAAATATATATATTCTTCTCCCCACTATTTTGCACAACCTTGGTACTGTTCCGATTACCTGAACCTAACTTGACCGTCAAAATGTATACGGTCGCTACCACCCCCGCTGGTTCCGGCCGTGTACATCTGACCGTGCGTTGATTGTGCACAGGGAAGAATACGTGAAGTGACTATCGGTTGGCCACGTGGAGGGTCCAATTTCCGAGGTCAACACAATCTATCTCTCCATACAAGCAAACAGAAAACGTGATCCATCCCATAAAGGGCCGAATTAGACCCCTGCCCTTTCCTTGTGTTTTCTTTTGTCTCTCTACCCATGTTCCCTTCCACCCTCCTATTTTCTGTCACACCCCTTATGCCACTTCTCACCCCCCATCTTCCCTGCCACCGCCAAGCCATAATTACCTGGTGGGGAAGGGGAGGAGGCGGGGGTGAGGAAGTAGGAAGACAAAAATTGCCTTATTTATCAAGAAAATTTGTACTTCAAACCTTAAGAGAAACAATAAAGTTGAAAAACACAGATTAAAAGCATATTAAGTTTTAATCATACCAACAAAACCATTCCCATTAACATCGTTGCAAAAGTTATCTTGTAACAGTAGAGCAATAATTGTTCTAGCAGATTACACATCAAGGTCAGATAGAAATTTGGAAGTTTTCGATGGTCCATTAGCTGGAAAAGAGTATACCATATCAATTCATAAGAGCAGGTAAAGCCTACACCCCTTAATAGAGATCTTAAACCTCTGTTACGTCAGCTTACTTGGTTTGGCTTTGCCAGAGAACTACTCAGTCTCCACTCGCACAACCTGTACAACCACAATGTACACACTCGATAACCTTCTCCTCCCGCAAATGCTTGGGGACTCGGCACACACATGTAGTTTGGTAGTTATGATCCCGAGGCTGCATGCACCTTAAACAGCAGAGCCTTTCATAACCAGGCTGCAATCCAAACACAAAACGGAGGATTTGACTTAATAATCTATAATGCACACAAATAAGAGCACAGAAGAATGGTTTTATGCTAACATGTATCAGAATTCTTCAACAATTTACAATAACCGAAAGCATATTACTCGTGGTTTCCAAATACAGAATAGTGAACAAACAAAACTTTCTTAATTTAATTCACTGTCACACAGTTTGAAATGCCAGAGCCAATAATCATGAGGAACGTTGTCTATCCTTGATTCCTTATACTATCAATCACTTCTTATTTCTCTTATATTAATACCCGGGGGGGGGGGTATTGATTAACCAACCTTTTTCCACTTTGCAATTAAATTACGATCTGCATAACCCTGCTCCAAGCAGAATTCATACAAGTCCTTCGAAATTTCCTTCCTCTTGTGATAAAGGTCAAAAACATAGCGACTTTTCTGATGAGCTATTTTAAAAATAGGCCACAGTCCTTCACATTTTCTTTTACCATCATCAGGATCATTCTCAGCTGCAAAAAACAAAAGAACGCCACCAAGTACACAAACTCAGTAACCAACAGAACCAAGGTGGAAAAATGTTAAAATCAAGACATGCACAGAAACAATCAAAACCTTCTCTCATCTTTGCTTGTAGTTCACGTAGCGTTGGTTCAATCAGTTCCCAACCCTCTGGGTAAGTTACCCTGTTTGTCTTCACCTTAGGCATGATTTCCTCTGCAAGGAACATGGAAAATGTACATCAGAAATTATGTTGGCAAAGAGCAAAAAAAGTCTGATGCCAAGTTTTTATGTACTATTTAACACAAAAATGATCATCCACCAACCAATTCAGTCTAACTTGCTTATTTCAATTGTAAGGAAAATAAGATACTTGACCTTTCCAATCTAGACAAGGAAATTCACTCTTTTCCAAGTTTATGACCAAGTAAAAGTTTGTCCTCTTCTATTTTAAATGACAGCATTGAGAGATTTAACCTACAGGAAGCACATCCCCAAGAAATCTCACTGTTCAATCCGAATGAATAATCTAACAAAAGGTTTCAGGTTTCATATCAGTAGTGAACCCTGAAACCCTCTCAAAAATCTGGATTGGTTTCTCTGGTCATGTTAAATCAGCTAGTGCATAGATTGTAGATTTAGAAAAATCAAAATAAGACATATTCTTGGATAAAGATGGCATTAAACTTCCTGACGTGAATAAAATAAACAAGGAAAATGCAAATTAGCCACGTTGGATTTGCAAATATTGCTATTGATACCTTGTGACTTCGAAATATCCTAATAAACATCTCATTGTTAACGATATAATTTAGCAAACCATAAAGAATGAGACTAAACTTCTGCAGTCCTGGAAGAGATAGGACGTAAGCTAATGAATGTTTCATATGACCAAGAAAGCATTAGTTTTTTTTATCTCCTCATGGTTGTTCAAAAGAGCATGTCTAAATCAATTTTAAGCATGTAGCAGAACTTCATTTTGTCACAATTAGGTCACTCAATTTATACTTTAGTTACAATGAAATCATTTCATCCAACTCTATTGGATTGCAAAAGGAAAAAATGACATAAATGTTGACACGAGACAAATAACTCTCATGTCGACACAAATCATCAACTGCCACACCAGTGTTCCCGTTTGCCAAGCTTATTAACTGGACACGGTGACTTGATTATAGCAAAATTGTACATTCAGTACCTAAATACAACAAATGAAGTTCAATACCCACTTGAAATCCGGAATAAATTTGTTGACACCTAGATTATACTACAGATGGTTATAAAAAAGTAACAAATGATGATTAGTTTATAGCAAAACCAAAAGAGGAATTAGTGGGAATTGAAATATACTTCGAACTAATTTGAATTTTGTCCAAAGGAAAAATTGAATAAATACACTTTTGTGGGTCAGATTACTTACTAAAATTCAAGGATAACTGCCAAAATAAGACTCGTTGAAGAATGGAATAGTTTTAATGACATAAAGGACCAACCTGTGTTTATTCGCTCAGCCGTAACACGTAACACCTTGAGCATAATCGCCCAGTGAAATTTTCTATTCTTGGATTTTTGTTTAATACTGAATGCATGTTAAGAGACTTAATAATTATTTACCACCCATTTTAAGTACTTCCAAATGCATCTGCAACCATTGTTCACCATATACAGTGGATTAAAAAGGAAACAAGAAAGGTTCACAAGAAAGCAAAGGAGATAATGTAATGGTCAAAATAAGCTCTAATTCTTTTTTTATCACATTCATCTCAATTAAAAATTCAATATCCAAATTGAAGTTTATTAAGTTACTTTTAGGGTATTCATTACAAAAATAAAATAAGCAGGACTTCACCGCTATGAGGTTTAGCAGCACAGAGCTCCACTTTATATTACACACAATGCATAATTACTAATGTGAAGATGACATGAACAGTTTTTACTCTAATCAAAACTAATAACCCCCACGCCCACCCCAGCGAACAAAAACTAAAAACTAGAAGTTAATTGAAGCAGTAAAAAAATAGGAAAACCATTTATAAAGAAGAATCTAATAATAATAGAACATCCCATTTTCATACTACCAACAAGTAGGCGTTGATCTACATCAAATTTCAAATTCATGAATTTGAAGAAACAGTTAAATATTTAGCCATGTTTGGTACATGTTCTTTAAAAATCATTTTTCTCAACCTCATTTTCAACCCCACATAACTTTTTTATACCTTTTAACCACGCATTCATGTAACTTTTTCATACTTCTAACCATACATTCCCCAAAAATACTATTTTTCACAAAATATATTCTCAAAAAATCCAAATAAAATATGCCCTAATGTTGATTGTATGCATATATTTAAAATTTATGGAGATACAGTTGCAATAGAATTCAGTGCGGCAATACTACCAGATTAAGTTAAGAATCACCTTCAGCAGTGGTTGCGATGCAGCTGATGCGACGGAGGAGATAACCAGCGAGAGTGATTATTCGTGTAGAACCCGAAATTACGATTTTAATATTTTTATAGAGGTAATTGGCACGATACTCCTTTCATATTTGCCTATTTTGTAAAATATCCCATAACCTTTCATTTTGGCACAAAACCCCCTTAAATCACCCAAACATTGCGAAAAATTCCCTGTTGTCCACATCTATTAATTTCTCTGTTCAAAGAGATTTTGAAAGCCAAAACAATAAAAACATAAAGGGCATTTTTGTCTCATCAACTTCAAATATTTACTTAAGACCGCATTTGTTTGAAAGAAAATGTAGAAGAGGAACCGACCAACAGGGGCGGATCCAAGAATTTTTGGCGCACGGGCTAACATTTAAAAGTTGATATAGTAAATTCATAAATGAATTAAAGTACAATTCATTTAATTTGAAGTTGTTCCCGACGAGGATTTGAAACATAAAATTCATCTACAACTGAATCTATATCTATCTTTAGAGCAAGCTCTCGTTCAATGAAGAGTGTCATACAATCAGCAAGAAAATCATCCTCCATTTTGTTACGAAGATCCGTCTTCACATGTTTCATTGCAGAAAATGCTCGTTCAGTAGTCTCCGTAGAAACAGGTAAAGTCAGTACAAGACGAATCAATCGAGTAACCATAATATAAGTCTCCGACCTGCCACTCTTCAGTTAACTGTTGATATAACTCAACAAGTGTAGATACTTGAAATCGAGATTCACTCTTCATATCTAGCTCAAAATGGTTCAACTCATATTCCAAAGTACGAATATCTTGCTTTGGAAAATCTTCAAGATAGAAATTTTCAGCAAGTGTACAAATATCACGAATGCTAAATGATTCAAACAAATTTTTAGGATCTAAAGTTGCACTGAGTGTGAGAAGTTCAATTGACGTGTCATTAAATCTTGTATTTAATTCCATCAGTACGAAATCTATTGTTTCATTGAAAACATCAAAGTGATAATGATGCTCCATTGTAATTTGATCACGAGAACGATAAGGACCAACTTTATACAAACTTTCTAGGTCGGGTATCTCAATATCATGTTTTGAGCAAAACTTTTTCACTTCCTGAAGAAATTCGTCCCAATCATCATCTCTCATTTTTTAAGGAGTTTTGTTGTAGTAAAATCAAATTTCATAGCAGTCAAGATATCTAAAGATTTCCTTTGCAGGGTTTGACAAAGAGTATCGGTTAATCTCATGATGTTATGCATTAAATGCAAACCGAACACAAAATCAAAACTTTTCATATGTTTGTAAGTGCCGCGAACTTCGCCCCAAGATCTTCCACTTGGACCATGGACGTTAAGATTTTCAAACACCTTGCAAGTTGCTTTGTACATATCTATCAAACTCTGAGTCATTATGAGAACTCCAACGAGTTGCTCCTGATCGTTGTAAATTACCCACTTGATTTGCTCATCTTCTCGACTCACACTCCCCAGTAGCTAACATATGCTCAATTTCATTTCTTTGAGCAAAATGTAACTCTGTAATGCGCTTAGGGGAAGAAGTGATAATGTTGACAATATTGTCCAAATGAGAAAAGAACTCCCAAATAACATCAACTTCTTTAGCTGCATGAACTAATACCAATTGTGATCGATGAGCAAAACAATGGACATAATACGCATACGGACAATCTCTAAGAAATAATGTTTGAAGTCCATTCCAAATGCCCCGCATATTACTTGCACCATCATATCCTTGGCCTCTCATTTTTGCCACCTCAAGTTCATGTTGAGCAAGAACACTTAAAATCTCAGTTTTTAGATTTGATGATGTAGTGTGACTAACGCTTTTGATATCAAAGTAGCGTTCCATCAAAATACCGTGACGATTCACAAACCTCAAAATAATGGCCATTTGTTCTCTCTTAGATGTATCTTGTGCTTCATCTACAAGAATACAAAAGTATTCATCCCCAATTTCTTCGCGAATCATCATTCTTACTCTATTTACCATTATGTGTAAGATTTCTTTTTGAATACTCGGAGCAATGTATTGGGCATTTTTTGGAGCATTCTTCAAAACAACTTGATCAATTTCTGTATTCGTTTCTGCCAAAATTTTTATCATTTCAAGAAAATTTTCGCTATTCAATGAAACTGGAGATTCATCATGACCTCTGAAGGAACAACTTTGAAATGATAGCCATCGAACACTTCGAATTGAAGTCTTTAAACGTAAACGACGTTTCTCAACTTCTAAATTCGATACGGTATGCATCACTTTATCAATATGTTGAGATGGTTTCATTACATCTTTAGCTCTTCTCTCACACATGTTATGATCCGATGATTGCAAATGCATAAGAAACGTACATTTTGATCCGTCATTTACCCTTTTCCATTTGTTATATCCAGAAGTTACCAGTGCCGAACAATTGGACGGATTTCCATCATTCCAAAAAAGATAACAATAAAAACAATATGCCCTATCTGTTATAGGTGATACTCTTGTCAAGGAAACTGGTTGAACCATTTTGCCTGAAAGCGACGAGACTGAGATTTTCCTTTTGTCTTTGGATACTCAACAAGTTTTGGTTGATAAGGCCCAGCTTTAAGATATGCCACTCTAATCTCATCTCACGAATGGAAAGGAAATTCAAGTATTTGCTTTCTTTTTCCAGTTCTCGTTCAATGCTAATATTTTAGGATGATTGTCGTTCGATTTCTGGTGGAAATAAAGGTTGATCTTCAGTTAGTCCATCAGAAGTTGTACTTTCTGTAGGTTGATTTGCCCTTTAGAAGAAGGAAAATAAGTTCTTATTCTTCTTGAGAGGTGGTTGACCTTCCATTTTCAATTTCTTAAAATCACAAAAAAAAAAAGTCAAAACAAAAAAAATTAATCAATGATATTGCTCTAACTTCAATCAAAATATATTTTATTAAGCCGACAAGTCAACAAAAATAATTCATTAGGGTAACAAGACAATAACAACAATCATTAAGTCAGTTAGGCAACATAGACAAATACGTAATAATATTTAATTCAATAGTTTGCCAGCAAGGCAATAAGTAGAGAGATTGAGACATTTACTTACTATAATGTATTGAAGCTTTTGCTTTTCCTATGTGTCTGCGGAATTAAGCTTGTAGACACTTGACAAATAAGCCTGTTGACAATGAACTATAATTCCACATTACAATTTAGAATAAACTTTTTAGCCCACTCTTTTAATTCATATTGTAACTTAAGAAAAATAAGATCATCAAACGGAAGTGCTCAAGTGCATAAAATGATAAAATGAAAAATAATATCACTTCATTTATCATTTACCATATTTTCATATTTTATCATTTACCATATTCTTTTATCATTTAATTTAATTAGTTACCCTTGAGTGGTGAAATTTATTAATGATTCTGCTTCAATGCTCTGCATTACCAAATACCAACATAAATGAAGGCCGAAGTCCGAAAGATTGGAAAGATTGGCCAACCCGTCGAGGGATTATAAATAGGTGTTATTTTATACACAAATTTAACATGAAAACCATCCATACAAACTCCAATAAAAAATTTATTCTATTTTTCAAATACAACCCACAATCAAATCTCAATAATCCATATTAAATACTAAAAATATATTAAAAAAATGGTCGAAGTTACAAAATACAAGAAACTAAACTCCAAAATGGCAAAATCGAGAAATAAATACCAAAGATGGAGTGTGGAACCGTGGTCCCATCACTCGTGGAGGAGTTTCAACTTTGGGGGGGATTAGAACTTGCAATTTGCAAATGGGTCAGAAGTCAGAAATGAAAGAATTGGATTTAGGTTTGTCATTTGGGTTTGGTTTATATGTGGTAAGTGGTATTGAAATAATTTTTGTTTGGGCAAAAAATATGGAGCTGGGTCAGGTCTTATTCTCTTTTTTTGGTTGGACACGGGCTGCCTTGAACTAGACACGGGCTGCTCAACAAAATGATATGGGCTCAACCCAAAAAAATAAAAATAAAAATGTAAACAACATGGATCTGGGCTTGGGCGAGCACGGGCTGTAGTCCGGGCCAGCCCATGCCCAGATCCGCCCCTGCCAACCAAAGAAATTTACGTAGAAACCTCAATTTTCACGTTTTTATACCAGAGCACTTTTAGAAAGATCGAAATGTAGACAAATAAGTTGATGTTCAATATGGGTTTATAAAATAATTTTGTTGTTGATAATGTTAGTTTTTTTCCCTCTATTCAATTGCTATTGGTTAAGGGCTACTGTGTTGATGTTGATTTCTATTTTTCGATGAAATAAGGGTTAACTAGTTTGGATGGAAATTTGGTGTTTTGTTTCTTTTGTTGTTGTTGCTGTAGTAATTCTACGGTTGATTTGCACAAAGTTTACCTATCTCAAAGGTTGTATTCCACAAAACATATTAATTCTAGGGTTGTATTTCACAACGTTTATCAAATCCAAGGTTGTGATTCCGTAACAAGTACCAATTTCAGGGTTGGTTTGCACACAACATTTGAACTAGTATTCTTTTTCTTCTGATTCAATACAGATACACATTTTAATTTCAAACCAATAGCAAAATCAAATTGGAAATGGGGAAATGAAATCATAAGAAACCCCAGAATGAAATTTCATTGTCATTAAGCTTTAGAAAAGTCAAGCTCATTCATCTGAAACGAGGAAATGAAATTAAAATAATAATAATAATAAGCAATTTCTTCATCTAAAATTACACCCAGTCTCAGTATTGCAAGCAAATACAATTTCTTTGTATAAATAAGCTTTCAATTTTCTTCCATTTTCATGTCCCAAAATAAAACTCATTCTGTTGACACACAAAAAGTTCAGCCCAAATCGAATTGCTCAAGGAATGAAGCCCAATTGGAGGATCCCCAAATCAGATAGCCCAAAGAACGGCCCAATCAGGCAATTCAAGATAAAGGCCCAAATAAGGAAGCCCGTGAATGTGGTAATACCATCATCCAAGCTTGCAAGTCGCCCAAGATTTGAGCGAATGGATTGCCATGCAGTCGCCCAGAGCTGTGACCCTGTTCTCGCTCAAACCTTCGAGTCGCCCGGGATCTTAGCAAACATAAGATGTTATGGTTACCCAAAAGTATGGTTAATGAAGCAGTTATTGAGTAGCCCTATCACGTTCCACGATTCAAGAAATTCAATTGAAGACGGTTGAACGACCAAAAGTAATGGCAACAGTTAGAGAAGGCAGTTCCATGACAAGTTGGCCACCATGAAGAAAGTGGACAGTTATAGACCAATCAAACAATTTTTAAGCGGTTGATCACGAAGAGATCATCCATGGAGTATAAAAGGAAGAAAAGACATAGAGCAAAGGACCCTGAATCAAACACTCTCAAACAGAGAATATTTAACTTTCAATTTCTTAGTTTAGATTTAAACACTTCTTTTCAGTAACTCGTGTGCTTGCGCCCCTTGGAGGCATTCTGTTTTATTTTCCAATTGTAAAGTCATCGCCAATAAAAATACCCATTTTTAGAACTTTGTCTCAAAAAGTTTGTCCCTTACACAATCGTCTGATCCCTTTTTAATTGTTAGCGACTAACCCGCGCGAAACAATTTGGCACACCCAATGGGACAATGGTGTTTGGTGTTGAAGATACAAAAGTTGAAACAATATGTCTCAGAGATCCGATAAGGAAGCAGCAAGTTAGGGAGGAGTCCAGTCTGTGATCTAGCAATATGAGGAGCAGCATAGCTCTCCACGAACAGATGGACAGAATCAGAGCAGTAACGGTTGTTACGAATCAATGACAGAGTTGAGTCCTCAAATTATGCGTGCACTACTTGGAGAACTCACACAAGATGTCGTTGAACAGGTAAATCTTCGAAATATTCATAATATGGAAAGATTTACCCAGAATGGGAATGCACATTATGACAACATGGCCAAACAACTGAATACTTTGAACGAAATAATGAATAAGTTAGTAGGCCAAATTTGTCAACTAGTTATGCCTCTTGCAAACCACTTTCAAATTAGGACAATTGTGGGACATAATCCCCCAGTCCTAAATCCAAATCAGGGG